CTCCAACGTGCCACTGGCCATTGAAGGTGAGCATTTGCCCACTGAATTTGGTTACGATGGCGAACTGCAGTCAGGTCAAGACCCTGGTGAGGACGACGAGCACGCAGATGAGCTTCCCTGAGACGGTTTCTGACAGTTTGCACACTCCCTCAAAAGTTGAGACATTTGTGGCATTGTGTTGTGACAAAACTGCACATTTTAGAGTGGCCTTTTATTGTCCCCAGCACAAGGTGTACCTGTGTAATGATAATACTGTTTAATCAGCTTCTTCATAAACCACACCTGTTATGTGGATGGATTACCTTGGCAATGGAGAAAAATGCTTACTAACAGAGACGTAAAACACCTAGTTACAGTGAGGGAAAATAGTATTTGATCCACTGCTGATTTTGTACATTTGCTCACTGACAAAGAAATGATCAGTCTATAATTTTAATGGTAGGTTTATTTGAACAGTGAGAGACAGAATAACAACAAAAAAATCCAGAAAAACGCATGTCAAAAATGTTATAAATTGATTTGCATTTTAATGAGGTTAATAAGTATTTGACCCCTCTGCAAAACATGATTTAGTACTTAGTGGCAAAACCCTTGTTGGTAATCACAGAGGTCAGACGTTTCTTGTAGTTGGCCACCAGGTTTGCATACATCTCAGGAGGGATTTTGTCCCACTCCTCTTTGCAGATCTTCTCCAAGTCATTAAGGTTTCGAGCCTGACGTTTGGCAATTCGAACCTTCAGCTCCCTCCACAGATTTTCTATGGGATTAAGGTCTGGAGACTGGCTAGGCCACTCCAGGACCTTAATGTGCTTCTTCTTGAGCCACTCCTTTGTTGCCTTGGCCGTGTGTTTTGGGTCATTGTCATGCTGGAATACCCATCCACGACCCATTTTCCATGCCCTGGCTGAGGGAAGGAGGTTCTCACCCAAGATTTGACGGTACATGGCCCTGTCCATCGTCCCTTTGATGCGGTGAAGTTGTCCTGTCCCCTTAGCAGAAAAACACCCCCAAAGCATAATGTTTCCACCTCCATGTTTGACGGTGGGGATGGTGTTCTTAGGGTCATAGGCAGCATTCCTCCTCCTCCAAACACGGCGAGTTGAGTTGATGCCAATGAGCTCCATTTTGGTCTCATCTGACCACAACACTTTCACCCAGTTCTCCTCTGAATCATTCAGATGTTCATTGGCAAACTTCAGACGGGCATGTATATGTGCTTTCTTGAGCAGGGGGACCTTGCGGGCACTGCAGGATTTCAGTCCTTCACGGCGTAGTGTGTTACCAATTGTTTTCTTGGTGACTATGGTCCCAGCTGCCTTGAGATCATTGACAAGATCCTCCCGTGTAGTTCTGGGCTGATTCCTCACCGTTCTCATGATCATTGCAACTCCACGAGGTGAGATCTTGCATGGAGCCCCAGGCCGAGGGAGATTGCCAGTTATTTTGCGTTTCTTCCATTTGCGAATAATCACACCAACTGTTGTCACCTTCTCACCAAGCTGCTTGGCGATGGTCTTGTAGCCCATTCCAGCCTTGTGTAGGTCTACAATCTTGTCCCTGACATCCTTGGAGAGCTCTTTGGTCTTGGCCATGGTGGAGAGTTTGGAATCTGATTGATTGATTGCTTCTGTGGACAGGTGTCTTTTATACAGGTAACAAACTGAGATTAGGAGCACTCCCTTTAAGAGTGTGCTCCTAATCTCAGCTCGTTACCTGTATAAAAGACACATGGGAGCCAGAAATCTTTCTGATTGAGAGGGGGTCAAATACTTATTTCCCTCATTAAAATGCAAATCAATTTATAACATTTTTGACATGTGTTTTTCAGGATATTTTTGTTGTCATTCTGTCTCTCACTGTTCAAATAAACCAACCATTAAAATGATAGACTGATCATTTCTTTGTCAGTGGGCAAACTTACAAAATCAGCAGGGGATCAAATACTTTTTTCCCTCACTGTAAATTAATTACACTTTGGACGGTGTATCAATATACCCAGTCACTACAAAGATACAGGCGTCCTTCCTAACCCAGTTGCCGGAAAGGAAGGTAACCGCTCAGGGATTTCACCATGAGGCCAATGGTGACTTTAAAACAGTTACAGGGTTTAATGGCTGTGATAGGAGAAAACTGAGGATGGATCAACAACATTATAGTTACTCTATAATACTAACCTAAATGACAGAGTGAAAAGGAAGGAAGCATATACAGAATAAAAATATTCCAAAACATGCACACTGTTTGCAATAAAACTGCCAAATTTGTTTACAAAGCATTATGTTTGGACCAAATCCAACACAACACCTCACAGTGTACCACTCTTCAAATTTTCAAGCATCATGTTATGGGTATGCTTGTCATTGGCAAGGACTAGGGAGTTTTTTAGGATGAAAAGAAACGGATTAGAGCTAAGCACAGGCAAAATCCTAGATGAAAACCTGGTTGTCTGCTTTCCAACAGACACTGGGAGACAAATTAACCTTTTAACAGGACAATAACCTAAAACACAACGCCAAATATACAGTGCCTTTGGAAAGTATTCAGACCCATTGACTTTTTCCACATTTTGTTACGTTACAGCCTTATTCTAAAATTAATTAAATGTTTTTTTTCCCCCATCATTAATCTACACACAATACTCCATCATGACAAAGCAAAAACAGGTTTTTAGAATTTTTTGCACATTTATTTTAAATAAAAAACAAAAATAACTTATTTACATAAGTATTCAGAGCTTTTGCTATGAGACTCGAAATTGAGCTCAGCTGCATCCTGTTTCCATTGATCGTCCTTGAGATTTTTCTACAATTTGATTGGAGTCCACCTGTGGTAAATTCAATTGATTGGAAATAATTTGGAAAGGCACACACCTGTCTATATAAGGTCCCACAGTTGACGGTGCATGTCAGATCAAAAACCAAGCCATGAGGTCGAAAGAATTGTTGGTAGAGCTCGGAGACAGGATTGTGTCGAGGCACAGATCTGGGGAAGGGTACCAAAACAATTCTGCAGCATTGAAGGTCCCCAAGGACACAGTGGCCTCCATCATTCTTAAATGGAAGAAGTTTGGAACCACCCAGACTCTTCCTAGAGCTGGCCACCAGGCCAAACTGAGCAAACAGGGGAGAAGGGCCTTGGTCAGGGAGGTGACCAAGAACCCGATGGTCACTCTGACAGAGCACTAGACTTCCTCTGTGGAGATGGGAGAACCTTCCAGAAAGACAACCATCTCTGCAGCACTGCACCAATCAGGCCTTATTCACTGTGCATTTATTCCTTGTGTCACTATTTCTTTATCTTTAACTCTGCATTGTTAGAAAATGACCTGTAAGAGAGCATTTCAGTGTTCGTCTACACCTGCTGTTTACGAAGCATGTGAGAAATAAATTGTTATTTGATGAAGTTACCAAATTTCGCCAGTGGGTGTCTTTCTTGAGCAGTGAATTACATTACTCTACTCATGGGGTTTCAGTCCTATGGGTCAGTCAGATGTGTGTGATTTCTAAAAGTCACAACAAATAATTAAGATGTAAAATAGTTTATTTTGTAAATGCTTCTAAATTCAATTACACAAACTCCAAACCTCATTACTCTGTACACTTCAAAAGGCTGTTTTCAAAAAACATTGACTACTTTACAGGACCAAGAAAAATGTAGCACAAACACACTGGCAGGATGATGTCATTTTATACAAGAGAAGAAAAATATCCAAGAAATAATTTTGTTACAACCATTCATTGAGAAAATATATACAATTGAGTCTTCGGAAAGTTAAAAAAATACATGCCATATACATTACAAGTTCTAAGACTGTCTCCAAAATGTTACAGTCGACTTGAAATTGTGCACGCAAAACATTTTGCATTTTCTAACTACTGTAAGTGGCTTGTGATGTGTGTTTGGGTGGTTTAAAAACCTTATTCACAGTTCTATAAAATCAAACCTGATTAACAGCAAAGATGTCAGAATGATGTCTTTCCCATTTTGAAATTCTGTAACCAATGACTCGTTTCTACACTGGTTAGTCACCAAAAATATTTCTTTTTGAGTGGTCAAAGTACGTGTAAATCACAAAAACACTACGCTACAATACCATACTTTTAATAAACCAAAAATACTTTGAATTATTGTGGTTATTTTACAAATTCTGTACAGAATAATCATAATATATACTCTCAAACTGATATCATGACATCCTTCTTAAATAAATTGCAATGACAAACAAAAAACAAAACACCCAAACATCGAGAAGGTTAAGGTAGTATTTGGTCGGTTATTCCTATATTTTTCTTTATATACATTTATACAAAAGTAAGAGCATTTCTTCAATCTTCAGAAAACAATATCAGTTTAGCTTTCGTTTTACTGTCTCATCATTTTGAGAATAAAATTCATTCACTCAATAATAAATACAAAACGAATTTCACTCAAATCACATGACAGAAATCTATGACAAAACTGACTCATGGAATCAAGTATCTTAAAGTTGTGTGTACGTGTCTCTTTCTTTAGTGCAAGTTAATATTCCCTTCGCTGTAGTCATTGCTGTACATTCCCCATTCAGTGAATTCTACATTTAGTCAAACGGTTTTACATTTAAAGTTTTAAACAAAAGGGCCTGCCCTTACCAACCAATAAGGTCCGCGCCCCACAGTGCTCTCTTCTCATTCGCTGGTGGATTCTCTTCTGCGCTCTATTGTATATCTCACTAATACACAGACACACACTCATTGACACAGGCCTTCCAATAAAACCCAGCCTCTCACGTAATATGGCACAAATCACACATCCTGCTTACTGCTCGCCTCTTTCCACACCCTCTCCATCTTCAGTCTGTTTCAAACATGGGACTCCATCCATGCATCGCTCTCAGGGTTTACTCAGGTCTTCCACTCGTTCTAAAAAAGGACAGTCTGAAGCACCTCTCTGTCTACACAGAGATCAGGGCATCTGCATAATATGGAAAGGAATGCATTTGTTGATGTCATTTTAGTTTTTTTTCAGTTGATCCTTTTCCTGCACTCTGCTGTTCCACAGTGACAGGCAATCTTGTGATGGCTGTCCACACAGTCAAACTGGTAGTCGAAACACAGCTGGAAAGTAACGCAGAGAAAACAGTGATGACAATGAAAACGTCACTCATAGCATATGTAGAGATTTCCAATTGAAAGGAAAAAGAACACACCTCCTCTCCTTTCTCGATTCTGCGGTTGGAGGTGATGATGATTTTATAACCTCTTTCAAAGGTTACCACCTCAGCGACACAGTTCGGGGTACAAGAGTGATTGATGTACCTGTATAAGAAAACAAACCCATAGCACATTATGACGTGATTTGTTTGTGACCAACTTTTTATTTAGTTGTCATTTTCATTTCAGAGGGTACAAAAACAATCAAATAAATGCATACAAAGATAAACGACTCATTCTCCCCAGGCCTCAATTGTTACTTGACTAGCACCATTCATTCTCACTGTCGATAATTCTAATATAATAACTTCTAATAGTAACTGTATCCACTGGTTAAATGGGAGCGAGTGAGGTGGCTGCCATCTGGGAGCCAAAAGACTATTCACAGTAATCTTCTCTGATTGATTGAGAGATTCAAGGGGCTATCATTAAGTAACATAATAGATGGAAAGCATTGAATATTTAAATTCATGCACCTCGAAATTAATTTGATAACTTTGCCTCAGTACAAATTAACTGCAGGGCACTCCCACGTTATATGAAGGAATGTGCCTACCTGATTTAGGGGACACAATGAACAGTTGGGAGTTGGGGCCAATTTCATCGTAAAACATTTCCTTGGACTTAAATACAGTCTGAAGAAACTTAAAATGTATAAATTGATGGTTCGGATTACAGGATGCCATGGATTACAGGATACATTGTAGAATAATAGTGAAGACATCAAAACTATGCAATAACACATATGGAATCATGTAGTAACCAAAAAAGTGTTAAACAAATCAAAATATATTTTATATTTGAGATTCTTCAAATAGCCACCCTTTGCATTGATGACATCTTTGCACACTCTTGGCATTCTCTTAACCAGCTTAATGAGATAGTCACCTGGAATGCATTTCAATGAACAGGTGTGCCTTCTTAAAAGTTAATTTGTGGAATTGCTATCCTTCTTAATGCGTTTGATCAGTTGTGTTGTGACAAGGTAGGGGGGGTATACAGAAGATAGCCCTATTTGGTAAAATACATTTATATTTTAGTCATTTAGCAGACGCTCTTATTCAGAGCGACTTAGTGAGTGCATACATTTTCATACTGGCCCCCCGTGGGAATCAAACCCACAACCCTGGCGTTGCAAGCGCCATGCTATACCAACTGAGCTACATGGGACTACCAAGTACATATTATGGCAAGAACAGCTCAAATAAGCAAAGAGAAACGACAGTCCATCATTACTTTAAGACATGAAGGTCAGTCAATACGGAACATTTCAAGGACTTTGAAAGTGCAGTTGCAAAAACCATCAAGCACTATGATGAAACTGGCTCTCATGAGGACCGCTACAGGAAAGGAAGACCCAGAGTTACCTCTGCTGCAGAGGATAAGTTCATTACAGTTAACTGCACCTCAGATTGCCGACAAAATAAATGCTTCAGAGTTCAAGTCACAGACACATCTCCACATCAACTATTCAGAGGGGACTGTGTGAATCAGGCCTTCATGGTCAAATTGCTGCAAAGAAACCACTAATAAAGGACACCAATGATAAGAAGAGACCTGCTTGGGCCAAGAAACACGAGCAATGGACATTAGACCGGTGGAAATGTGTCCTTTGGGCTGGAGTCCAAATGATAGACTATTGGTTCCAACCGGTGAGTCTTTGTGAGACGCGTGGGGGTGAACGGATGATCTCTGCATGTGTAGTTCCCACCGTAAAGCATGCAGGAGGTGGTGTTATGGTGTGGGGGTGCTTTGCTGGTGATACTGTCAGTGATTTATTTAGAATTCAAGGCACACTTAACCAGCATGGCTACCACAGCATTCTGCAGCGATACACCATCCCATCTGGTTTGGGATTAGTGGGACTATCATTTGTTTTTCAACAAGACAATGACCCAACAACTCCAGGCTGTGTAAGGGCTATTTTACCAAGAAGGAGAGTGATGGAGTGCTGCATCAGATGATCTGGCCTCCACAATCCCCCGACCTCAACCCAATTGAGATGGTTTGGGATGAGAGTGAAGGAAAAGCAGCCAACAGGTTGGCTCAGCATGTGGGAACTCCTTCAATAATGTTGGAAAAGCATTCCAGGTGAAGCTGGTTGAGAGAATGCCAAGAGTGTGCAAAGCCTTCATCAAGGCAATGGTTGGCTATTTGAAGAATCTCAAATATAAAATGTATTTTGATTTGTTTAACACTTTTGGTTACTACATGATTCCATGTGTGTTATTTCATAGTTTTAATGTCGTCACTATTATTCTACAATGTAGAAAATAGTAAAAATAAAGAAAAACCCTTGAATGAGTAGGTGTGTCCAAACTTTTGACTGGTACTGTACATTTTGAAACCGCACTAGGAATTTTCTCAATAGCCAGATGGGGGAGCCATGGGAAGCATTGAACTACAGAAAGCCGTGGCAATATATTCATTTTGACAATAGATATTCTCATGGTTACAGCAACTGGGATATTATTCCATCTACTGAGGTCAGATTGAATTGATTTGAGCGTTCTGCTAAAGTTTCTGGCAATAGTTATATCTAAAGAAGGAAATATATCTACTTAAAAATATTTTAAATGGTAATGGGATTCCATAAGTAGAGATGGAGACCTCCATCAGGGTCCTGAGAGGAAGTAGGGCTGATTTGGTTAGATACATTTTAAGATGACTTTATCTAGGATCTTCAATGCGTTTGGAAGCGATTCAGATTTGTATTTGTATTTATTAGGGATCCCCATTAGTTGCCGCCAAGGCAGCAGCTACACTTCCTGGGGTCCAAACATATTAAAGCACTTACATTACATATAAAACAAAATATAAAACAGTACATCATATGACATTATTACACCACTACCTATCTACAATACACAATGTTTATACCCTTGTGTGTCTCTTCACAGTCCCCATGTATTTTTACCAGTTTTTTTTAAATCTGATTCTACTGCTTGCATCAGTTACCTGATGTGGAATAGAGTTCCATGTAGTCATAGCGCTATGTAGTACTGTGCGCAAGTAACTCTTTATCCACATTATAGCAGGGGGTGTAAAGCGATAACACATACGTTTTTCCAGCAGCAGACTACGATCGATAATGTCAAAAGCCGCACTGAAGTCTAACAAAACAGCCCCCACAATATTTTTATCATCAATTTCTCTCAGCCAACCATCAGTCATTTGTGTAAGTGCTGTGCTTGTTGAATGTCCTTCTCTATAAGCAGATACATTGTCTAGATATAGTAAAATATTGTCTGCATACAATGAGATTAAGTGATCAGTAGATTAGAGATTTTCGATTGACAAATTGCCTGGGCCAAAGGTTCCATGGATAATAAGTTTTGGATCACCTTGTCTGCTGCTTCTAGTGATTATGAACGGAGCAGAGCAGATATTGCATGTTATAACTATGGCTGAGGGATTGACCTATTTAAGTGATAATGCCCGAGAAGCCGGTGTTTGGAGGATATATTGGCATGGGTGTTAGGCCCGAGATTAAGCTCCGAGGGCATTTTCACTTTTATACAACATGTTACCAACATATTCAAATAATGATTAACATATTTTCATGAATTTATTCATACCATTTCATCCTTCCACAAGATATAGTCCCGAAACAAATCTAGGGTTGCTACCCAAGTCGGCTGGTCGTTCGTTCTATCGTTCAGTCTTGTAGTTCTGTATGTATGGACGTGAACCAGTCGTTCGTCCTAAATGTTCCATTGCCAGAATAACAGCAAAGTAGCCGCATTTGCATTTGTTTAAACTGTTTTCTAGTGACATTTATTTCGGATACATCCATAACAATGAGCTAATGAGTCGTGATTTCGCCTGGCATAGAACATTTGCTCACTCGTCAGGACACTGATGTTCAGAGGAGCTTGCCAACAACACAGCTAACGCAATCACTTCAAACTGAAGCTGGAAAAACTGCAAACTACAGTAGCTGCACTTCGTTTCATTTTACCTTTTTTTCTATTGACATTTCTTTGTATATATATATATATATATATATCCATAAAAATTATGCCAGCTGATTCATGATTTCAACTGGCTGAGAAACGCTGCCTGCCTGTCTAGATGCTTTTTATAGTGGAGTTCAAATGTATAAATTGCTTGGCTGATGAGACAGTGGATTGCGCAGTCAGATGGAACAGAGTAAATAGGCATTTTAACGTCATATATTTAGCCGGTGGTAACTTGTGGAATAGACACCGGCTGGAATGCGGTTTTAACCAATCAGCATTCAGGATTAGACCCACCCGTTGTATAAAGTATTTTAATCATATGAATGAAATTGAGGTCAATTCATCATAGGTACACGTCAACTATGACAGACAAATTGAGAATTTTTTTTCCAGAAAATCACATTGTAGGATTTTTTATGAATATATTTGCAAATTATGGTGGAAAATAAGTATTTGGTCACCTACAAACAAGCAAGATTTCTGGCTCTCACAGACCTGTAACTTCTTCTTTAAGAGGCTCCTCTGTCCTCCATTTGTTACCTGTATTAATGGCACCTGTTTGAACTTGTTATCAGTATAAAAGACACCTGTCCACAACCTCAAACAGTCACACTCCAAACTCCACTATGGCCAAGACCAAAGAGCTGTCAAAGGACACCAGAAACAAAATTGTAGACCTGCACCAGGCTGAGAAGACTGAATCTGCAATAGGTAAGCAGCTTGGTTTGAAGAAATCAACTGTGGAAGCAATTATTCGGAAATGGAAGACATACAAGACCACTGATAATCTCCCTCGATCTGGGGCTCCACGCAAGATCTCACCCCGTTGGGTCAAAATGATCACAAGAACGGTGAGCAAAAATCCCAGAACCACACGGGGGGACCTAGTGAATGACCTGCAGAGAGCTGGGACCAAAGTAACAAAGCCTACCATCAGTAACACACTACGCCGCAAGGGACTCAAATCCTGCAGTGCCAGACGTGTCCCCCTGCTTAAGCCAGTACATGTCCAGGCCCATCTGAAGTTTGCTAGAGTGCATTGGGATGATCCAGAAGAGGATTGGGAGAATGTCATATGGTCAGATGAAACCAAAATAGAACTTTTTGGTAAAAACTCAACTCGTCGTGTTTGGAGGACAAAGAATGCTGAGTTGCATCCAAAGAACACCATACCTACTGTGAAGCATTGGGGTGGAAACATCATGCTTTGGGGCTGTTTTTCTGCAAAGGGACCAGGACGACTGATCTGTGTAAAGGAAAGAATGAATGGGGCCAGGTATCGTGAGATTTTGAGTGAAAACCTCCTTCCATCAGCAAGGGCATTGAAGATGAAACGTGTCTGGGTCTTTCAGCATGACAATGATCCCAAACACACCGCCCGGGCAACGAAGGAGTGGCTTCGTAAGAAGCATTTCAAGGTCCTGGAGTGGCCTAGCCAGTCTCCAGATCTCAACCCCATAGAAAATCTTTGGAGGGAGTTGAAAGTCCGTTTTGCCCAGCGACAGCCCCAAAACATCACTGCTCTAGAGGAGATCTGCATGGAGGAATGGGCCAAAATACCAGCAACAGTGTGTGAAAACCTTGTGAAGACTTACAAAAAATGTTTGACCTGTGTCATTACCAACAAAGGATATATAACAAAGTATTGAGAAACTTTTGTTATTGACCAAATACTTATTTTCCACCATAATTTGCAAATAAATTCATTAAAAATCCTACTATGTGATTTTCTGGATTTTTCTTTCTCATTTTGTTTGTCATAGTTGACGTGTACCTACGATGAAAATTACAGGCCTCTCTCAACTTTTTAAGTGGGATAACTTGCACAATTGGTGGCTGACTAAATACTTTTTTTCCCCACTGTATGTTCCAAAACAGACCAGATATGATCATTCTAGTTTATCAAAAGCAGTTTCTGCATCGAGAGACAAAACATCCCAAGGAGCTGTTGTTTCTGATGAAGCTTTTAATATATGTAATTGTCGACGGAGGATATCCGAGGATAAACGCTTTTTAACAAACCCGCTTTGGTCCGTGTGGATCAATTTGGGTAAGTAAGCATGGAGATTAGATGACCACATTTAGGAAAAGGGTTTAATATCTGTGTTTATCAAAGATATGGGGCGACAATGAGTGGCATCCTTACCTTTTTTAATAAAAGAGAAATTAGTGCCATGTTCACATCTCTCCTAAATTAACCTTTGTGAACGGCTGTATTCATTATTTCAAGCAGTAGTGGACCTAATTGATTCCAAAATGTTAAATAGACCTTTGGAGGAATTACCGTCCCATCCAGGGGATTTGCCTTTATTCATGCTATCCAACGCCCTTTTGAGTTCATTGAGAGTAATTGTGATCTTTAGTGTTAATAAGCCCATGGATGTGAAACAAAAAGCAGGAACCACAAGGATGCCCACGCATTGGTTATTCCCCCCCATGAACAATTCCCCATTCCCTCCTCCAGGGCCCCAGGTACATTGTGCATACTGTGTAATCAGAGTCCAGGATACAGTGCATTCAGAGGTATTCAGACCCCTTCCCTTTTTACACATTTTGTTACGTTACAGCCTTATTCTAATTTTTTTTTTTTGTATGTACACATCAATCTACACACAATACCCCTTAATGACAAAGCGAAAACAGGTTGACATTTTTGCACACATATTCATATATATATATATACATTCATATATATATATATATAAAAAAGTATTTCACATTGATGTTGGGTGACTTTATGCCACTCCTGGCGCAAAAATTCAAGCAGCTCAGCTTTGTTTGATGGCTTGTGACCTTCCATCTTCCTCTTGATCACATTCCAGAAGTTTTCAATGGGGTTCAGGTCTGGATATTGGACTGGCCATGACAGGGTCTTGATCTGGCGGTCCTCCATCCACACCTTGATATACCTGGCTGTGTGGCATGGCGCATTGTCCTGCTGGAAAAACCAATCCTCAGAGTTGGGGAACAATGTCAGAGCAAAAGGAAGCAAGGACAACCTTGTACGTGGCTTGATTCATGCGTGCTTCACAAAGACAAATCTGCCCGATTCCAGCCTTGCTGAAGCACCCCCAGATCATCACCGATCCTCCACCAAATTTCACAGTGGGTGCGAGAGACTGTGGCTTGTAGGCCTCTCCAGGTCTCCGTCTAACCATTAGACGACCAGGTGTTGGGCAAAGCTGAAAATTGGACTCAGAGAAGATGACCTTACTCCAGTCCTCTACGGTCCAATCCTTATGGTCTTTTGCAAACCTCAGCCTGGCTCTTCTTTGCTTCTCATTGATGAAGGGCTTTTTTCTAGCTTTGCACGACTTCAGCCCTGCCCCTAGGAGCCTGTTTCGAACCGTCCTCGCCGTGAACTTCACCCCAGCTGCCGTTTGCCATTCTTTTTGTAGGTCACTTGATGTCATCCTAAGGTTGTTGAGTGACATTCGAATGAGTTGGCGGTCATCCCGGTCAGTAGAGAGTCGTTTTCGCCCTCTGCCGGTCTGTAGCTTTGTTGTCCCAATGTCTGCTGCTTGACCTTGTTCTTATGAACCGCCGTCTTTGACATTTTATGGATGGAAGCAACCTGACGCTCACTGTATCCCTCTGCCAGTAAAGCCAGAATTGAACCCTTCTTTTCCTCACTCAAAACTTTCCTTTTCAACTCTTTTGGCATGGTCAATAGTTATTTTTTGATAATTATTACTTTTGAGGTACTATTAGCACTGTTTTTGCCATCCAGCTGGTCCTATTGCAAGAGGATAGTGATGACCACAACAGTGGTTTCTATACTTTTCCTCATTAAATAAGATTTGGTTCATGTGATCACCTAATCAGTACCGAATTCAGTAGAATGAGGTGTGCCTGTGTTGGAATTCAACAGACACTGGAATGGAATGGCTGTCATACATGCAGAGATGCTGATTTAAGAAACATTTGCAGTGGTCTCTTAATTTTTTCCACAGCTGTATGTATATAAGTATTCAGACCCTTTGCTATGAGACTCGAAATTGAGCTCATGTGCATCCTATTTCCATTCATCATCCTTGAGATGTTTCTACAACTTGATTGGAGTCCACCTGTGTTAAATTCAATTGATTGGACATGATTTGGAAAGGCAAACACATGTCTATATAAGGTCCCACAGTTGACAGTGCATGTCAGAGCAAAAACCAAGCCATGAGGTCGAAGGAACTGTCCGTAGAACTCCGAGACTGGATTGTGTCGAGGCACAGATCTGGGGAAGGGTACCAAAAAATGTCTGCAGCATTGAAGGTACCCAAGAACACAGTGGCCTCCATCATCCTTAAATTGATTAAGTTTGGTACCACCAAGACTTTTCCTAGAGCTGGCCACCCGGCCAAACTGAGTAATCGTGGGAGAAGGGCCTTGGTCAGGGAGGTGACCAAGAACCCGATGGTCACTCTGACAGAGCTCCAGAGTTCCTTTGTGGAGATGGGAGAACCTTCCAGAAGTACAACCATCTTTGCAGCACTCCACCAATCAGGCCATTAGGGTAGAGTGGCCAGACAGAAGCCACTCCTCAGTAAAAGGCACATGACAGCCCGCTTGGAGTTTGCCAAAAGGCCCCTAAAGGACTCTCAGACCATGAGAAACAAATGGTCTGATGAAATCAAGATTGAATGCCAAGCGTCACGTCTGGAGGAAACCTGGCACCATCCCTACGGTGAAGCATGGTGGTGGCAGCATCATGCTGTGGAGATGTTTTTCAGCAGCAGGAACTGGGTGACTAGTCAGGATTGAGGGAACAGAGCAAAGTACAGAGAGATCCTTGATGAAAACCTGCTCGAGTGCTCAGGACCTCAGACTGTGGTGAAGGTTCACCTTCCAACAGGACAACAACCCTAAGCACACAGCCAAGACAACGCAGAAGTGGCTTCGGAACAAGTCTCTGAATGTCCTTGAGTGGCCCAACCAGAGCCCGGACTTGAACATCTCTGGCGAGTCCTGAAAATAGCTGTGCAGTGACGCTCCCCATCCAACCTGACAGAGCTTGAGAGGATCTGCAGAGAAGGTGTGCCAAGCTTGTAACGTCATACCCAAGAAGACTCGAGGCTGTAATCACTGCCAAAAGGTGCTTCAACAAAGTACTGAGTAAAGGGTCTGAATAGTTATGTAAATGTGATAGTTCAGTTTATTTTATACATTTACAAAAAATAATACAAACCTGTGTTTGCTTTGTCATTATGGGGCAATGTGAGTAGATTGATGAGGGAGGAAAAAAACAATTTAATCAATTTTAGAATAAGGCTGTAAGGTAACAAAATGTGGAAAGAGTCAAGGGGTCTGAATACTTTCTGAATGCACTGTACATACTGAGCCCTGTGATTTATTGCACAACCATCCTGACATTGAGTGACAAATAAATCAGGTAAGGTTAGAATGTGAATCAGGTTGAATGTGACTATGTAAAGAATTATGCTTACCTTGCCAGACCTCCTGTCTGACTGGCATCAACAACACGTTCACTGTCGATGCGGAACATGAACACTCCACGATTCTGTAGAGGGAAAAGTAACCACTTAGACCAACTGAGTCATCACATGAGCGAATACAGCAAACATGTATTATTCATCCTTCACAACACAGCAAGTACAGTTACTACAGCCTTAACAAAAAAATTAAAAATTATAATTGGCACCTGAGACTTGTAAGTCCTTTGCTTCTTGATGGCCACCTCGTTGCGGAGGACGGTTCCATTGTACTCAATCACCATGGTGTTTTTCTCTATGTCCCTGGCTGCATACAGACCCAGGCCCTGTGGACACAGTAACCAGAAAATGTGTCTACGTTCAACAGTAAGAGTCCCTTTACTCTCATGCTGTCATACTTCAGTCTTATCTTCACTCTGCAACTTAAGAACAGGAATGCAAGAGTGCTGAATAGGGTTGGGCGGTATCCAGATTTTCATACTGTCATACCATTTCTGTACTATACCGGGGATTTCACACACAAAACTATTAGGCAACATGGATCTGCTGTAACCAAGAAGCTTGATCTTGCCATCTAGCCACTTAGCTAGCAAGTTAGCAAAACAAATGCATAGCTGGAGCTTGGGCTGGATATAATTTATTTGGCACATCTACAGTGCCGTGAAAAAGTATTTGCCCCCTTTCTGATTTTCTCTATTTTTGCATATTTCTTTACACTTTATGTTAGCAGATATTCAACCAAAACCTAATATTAGATAAATGTGATACTTATTTTATTTATTTAATTAACAAAGTTATGCAACACCAGCGATGCAACACCAAAATGGCTAAAAAGCAACACATTTGACATTTTGGAATGGCCTAGTCAAAGTCCAGACCTAATCCCAAATGAGATGTTGCAAGACTTGAAACGAGCACTTCATGCTTTAAAAAACCCACAAATGTCGCTGAGTTAAAGCAGCTCTGCATGGAAGAGTGGGCCAAAATTCCTCCATAGCGACGTGAGAGACTGATCAACAACAAGTGTTTGGTTGGAGTCATTGCAGCTAAATGTAGCACAACCAGTTACAGAGTGTAAGAGGACAATTCGTTTTCACACAGGGCCATTGGGTGTTGCATATCTTTGTTTATGAAATAAATGCAATAAGTATGTAATTGTTGTGTTATTTGTTCACTCAGGTTCACTTTATCTCATATTAGGTTTTGGTTGAAGATCTAATAACGTTCAGTATCAAAAATATGCAAAAGTAGAAAAAAATTAGAAAGTGGGCAAATACTTTTTCACAGCTCTTAAATGACAGTTATAAGCACAGCTCTTAAATGACAGTTATAAGCAGTGGCGTAGCATGCACTGCACCCACCCAGCCCAGGCCTAGTGCTGAACTTAGAGGATCATGTCCCCTACACCCACCTGGATCTTGGAGGCAGCGAGATAGACGTTGGCCCTCCACTCACTCTTCATCCAGCGGTACTGAGAGGACCTATGGTGCACCGTGGGGGGCTTGGTGTAGGGGACGCCTCCCTCCCCCTGGGCTGTGTTCTGGCACCTGGAGGTGGTACTGGTGCTGCTGGATACTGGCTGGGGCCTAGGAGTGAATGTGTGTGCGTGCATGTGTGCGTATATTCTGTTATAAAGACAACTTGTGCTAAACCAAAGTATATTAAATCCACAGACTTGAAACAATGTTAATTCATCCACAATACCTTATGACAACGGCGGTGAAAGGGGAGCTGGTTTTGGGCATGGCGCGGGCGCTGCCAGAGGGGTTGAAGATCAGGGGAAGCTCCATCAGAGGGTTACGTCCATAACGGAAGGTGTACCTGTCACAGGCCTCTACCCCTGGGAGCTGGAACACAAGTAACAGCACAGGGAAATGAGACTGGAACGCTCCTCCTCACTTCAGTGTCTACAATATATACTGAACAAAAATATGAACGCAACATGCAACAATTTCAAAGATTTTACTGAGTTACAGTTTATATAAGGATATCAGTCAATTTAAATACATTCATTAGGCCCTAATCTATGGATTTCACATGACTGGGAATATATATATGCATCTGTTGGTCACAGGTACCTAAAAAAAAAAGTAGGGGCGTGGATCAGATCGCCAGTCACTATCTGGTGTGACCACCATTTGCTTCATGCAGTGCGACATCTCTTTCGCATAGAGTTGATCAGGCTGTTGATTGTGGCCTGTGGAATGTTGTCCCACTCCTCTTCAATGGCTGTGCAAAGTTGCTGGATATTGGCGGGAACTGGAACATGCCGTCATACACGTCGATCCAGAGCATCCCAAACATGCTCAATAGGTGACATGTCTGGTGAGTATGCATGCCATTGAAGAACTGGGACATTTTCAGCTTCCAAGAATTGTGTACAGATCCTTGTGACATGTGGCCATGTGAGGTGATGGTGGCGGATGAATGGCACGACAATGGGCCTCAGGATCTCGTCACGGTATCTCTGTGCATTCAAATTGCCATCGATAAAATGCAATTGTGTTCGTTGTCCGTAGCTTATGCCTGCCCATACCATAACCCCACCGCCACCATGGGGCACTCTGTTCACAACGTTTACGTTGACATCAGCAAACCGCTCACCCACACGACGCCATACACGTGTCCTGCGGTTGTGAGGCCAGTACTGCCTAATTCTCTGGCAACAGCTCTGGTAGACATTCCTGCAGTCAGCATGCCAATTGCACACTCCCTCAAAACTTGAGACATCTGTGGCATTGTGTTGTGTGACAAAACTGCACATTTTAGAGTGGCATTTTATTGTCCCCAGCACAAGGTGCACATGTGTAATGATCATGCTGTTTAATCAGCTTCTTGATATGCCACACCTGTCAGGTGGATGGATTATTTTGGCAAGGGAGAAATGCTCACTAACAGGAATTTAAACAAATGTGTGCACAACATTTGAGAGAAATAAGCTTTTTGTGCGTTTGGAACATTTCTGGGATCTTTTATTTCAGCTCATGAAATATAGGACCAACACTTTACATGTTGCGTTTACATTTTTGTTCAGTGTAGTATGGTGTGAGCACTTTAAGAGTCGCTTTCTGAATAGGCAGCTATAGACACCTATTGTGTCATTTGAACATTGATCATTTATTCTAAATCTGAATTATTTGAATATAATACAACAGAGAACAAATACAAACCGATTCAGTGATCTTGGTGACTGCAGAGACGGTGAGCCCAAACAGGTCCTCTCCTTTCAGATAGACAGGAAAGAGTTTCAGAGTTCCTATTTCAGTCCTCTTTTCAGCAACTGGTCCCAGGACCTTATCCCACACTCCTGATTGACAGAAAACAGCAGGCGTTATAGTAATATATTATAGGGACTCCTACAGAACACATTTACTGCAGTAAAAGAGAATCTCAAAGGCAAAATGAACTAGACACAAGCCTAGTCTAAGCCAACCCAGATACATGAACAGCAGAGGCTACAGCCATAACAGGGCTATATCAAAGCATGTCATAAAACCTATCAAGCTAGCCCACCTGTACTAAAACTTAAAAAAAATCGAGCTCACCTTTACTAGACAAGCCTAATCTAAACCAGCCCTAAAACAAATCTAGCCCAGCCCACCTTTGGCGGTGGAGTCAGTGAGGACCAGGTCCTTGTATCCCTGCTCGATGACGCGGATGCTGAACTCCGGCTGCTCCTCCCTTTCCTCCACAGAGCACAGGTAGCGGCAGCGGCGGTTGCCGTGGCGCATGCTCCAGTAGATGCGGCAGGCCTCGTAGCCCACGGGGAAGATGGCGGAGGTGGAGTGGAAGGCGGCCATCTGGGACGGGGTGAGCTGACCCACGGCGTGCAGTACCAAGCTGCCCACTCTGAAGGTGTAGCCCAGCTCAGGCTGCTGCACGGCGCTGGCCATCTGCCTCACCTCGTCCCTCTGTACGTAGACACGGCGGAACACAGCGAAGCAGCGCAGCTCGTGCTCTAGGACGTGGCCAGAGCCACCGTGGGCGGAGCCAGAGCCTCTGGGCCTGTGGGCGTGGCACAGCATGGTCTTGTCCTTGAAGAAGGTGCAGTGTGCCTGCAGGGCACAGGTGAAGTGGTAGATGTTGGTGCAGCGCAGGCGGTGGCAGCCGCTGGTGGCGCCCATCTGCTGGCAGTAGGCACAGCGCACCGCTGAACCCCGCCTCAGTGCCAGCTCCACGTTGATCAGGGCGCCCGCCTGCGTCTCGTACACCTATACAACAATACAATGTTAATAATACATATACAACACAATACAACTTTAATAAAAGGGTCACAATTGTAGTAGATAGTATGGTAGTAATGATCTGAAACCAGCAGTCTTCCCCCCCATTAGCCAGTTCTGTCCCCCCCCCCCATTAGCCAGTTCTGTTCCCCCCCACTTTTTTATTTTTTTTAAATCCCCGACTGAGGACATGAACCTTGTGGTTACCAGTCCACCACCGCTCTTAACTTCTGGGTTACCTACCTCGGTGGACCACAGGGCACAGTTGAGGTGCACCCACACATCCAGGTCTAGGTTGAGGAGGCGGGCAGGGCCGTCGGTGACCCCGTCCCCCAGTTGGTGACAGAAGCAGCAGCGGCGCTGGTCCCTGAGACTGGCCCAAGGGCGGAGAGATGCTCCCAGCTTCCTCAGCAGCTCGTCTATCTGGTCCTCGTCAGGGAGCTGGGAGCTTCCTCTAGGCACCACCACCTGCACCGTCCACTTCCTCCAGCGGAGACCCTTGTGTCTCTTCCCCTGGTGCCAGCCCTCCTGGTGGGCCCTGGGGCCCCGTGCCTTCAGTTTCACAGTCACTTTGATGGTGTCTGACTTGTCCTCTGTCTTAGGAGTCTTAGGGGTGTCGCTGGCTAGAGGGAAGGGGATGGGTGGGGTGGAGCGAGGGGACTGCTTGGGCTGGAGCTGGGCCAGACAGTGGACATCCAGAGAGGACATGTTGTTGCTGTACTGGTGCTGGGCTTTAGACAGGCTCTCCTTCTGGTCTGAGTCTGGAGACAGGAGGGCCACCGAGTCCTGCAGAAGATATGAATGACAATAATTTAATGTCCTGCTGCAAATAATTACATTTGACCATTTATATTTCACACACCGGTAGCAAATCTGGATACAACAAGTACTGTATACTGATTACCTACACTGGTTAAGAAGTCAAAAATAAATAGCCTCGGTGCATCAATAGAAACACAAACCTTAGTATCTGTAGTGTTTCTGGACTGCGAGGAGGAGGAGGAGGAGGTGGAGGCAGAGTAGAGGAGGAAGCAGCTGTGGCTGCAGAATACCAAGTTCCCCTCGGAACGCAACAGACCTTCCTGTTCCTGATGAGAGAAGACAGGCATGTCAGGAGATGGAGTGAGGAAGAGAGAGAATGAGATAATACATTATATTTATACAGCACTTCTCAAGAACACAAAGTTACTTTTCAATTGTTGAAAGAAGAGAGAGAAAGGGATAGCAATGAAACCCTTTTATCTAGCCTACTTCCCCAGAGTCAGATGAACTTGTGGATACCCTTTTTATGTATCTACATCTAGTATGAAGGAAACACTTGTTAGCAATTACACTAACGCAAGTTAGCAACTATCCTTCAAACTGAACGCAGAGACATAAAAATGGTATCCACGAGTTCATCTGACTGAGGAAGTAGATAAAGGGCCTCATTGCCAAAATCCTGAACTATTCCTTTAAGCTCATAATCACAGTGAGACATCAAAGGTCAAATCAATTCCTATACATAAACCTTTATCAATACTAAAAGGGGTTATTAAATAATCAAACAGCTCCAAAATTCAGATGAATCAGGGTTTAACCATTTGTGTACTCCCCAGACTGCAGTCTAAGGGCATGCAACCGCTTAACCCACTAATTGCACTGAGATGGATTTCACTCCAATGGGGGAGGAATTAGCATAATTAGAGGCTCTACAGTATGTGTGTGTGTGTATGGACATATGTTCTTGGATGTGTGTGTGTGTGTGTGTGTGTGTGCATTCATGCTTGTGTGTGTGCCTAAGGGCATAATGTGGATTAATCTATTGTTTGAAGTGAGGTCTGAGCCTCTAGTCATGACCCGTCTGTGCTCTTCTGCCCCCTGGGGGGAACAGACTAACGCAACAGTAATCTACGGCTGACAGGTGGAAAGGAGAGCTTTTACTGGGTTGGTTGGCCAAGAAGATAGTTATTCAATCCATATAGATCATAGCTTGGTTGGGCAAGATTCAACAAGGTAATTGATCAAATGATCTATGTTGACAGATCATGTGGACCATTAGAAAGACAGAGACGATTATCTAATGTGGACCACCACAAGATTTATGTTTCTATGTATCGCAATAGATAACTGTCTTTGTAATGTATGAGTTCAGCTTGATAAACACATAGCACAACATGAAAGCTCTGGCCATACGATACCTGTTTGTGCACTGGAAGGTCTTTGATGGACTTGCAGACTCCATTTCCCAGCACCACCACCTTGCAGTGACAGCACCACTGGGGCTTGGAGCCTGGGCTGCCGGGGATCTTCTGATGGGGGCCTCTGACTGCAGCTGGACCTGAAGCACAGCAACAGCACTCAAATAAGACACAGCTCCTGCAACAGTAGATGTTTAAACAGGCCAGAGCATTACAGCATGGCTTAGCTCGGCTCTGTAGCGTCTAAAGGGTATTATACTGAACAAAAATAAACGCAACATGCAACAATTTCAAAGATTTTACTGAGTTACAGTTCACATGAGGAAATCATTCAATTGAAATGAATTCATTAGGCCTTAATTTATAGATTTCACAATACAGATATGCATCTGTTGGTTACAGATACATTAAAAACAAAATGGGCCTAACAATGGGACTCAGGATCTCGTCACGGTATTTCTGTGCATTCAAATTGCCATTGATAAAATGAAATTGTGTTAGTTGTCCGTAGCTTATGCTTGCCCATACCATAACCCCACCGCCACCTTGGGGCACTCTGTTCACAACATTGACATCAGCAAACCGCTCGCCCATACGCCGCCATACACGTGGTCTGCGGTTGCGAGGCCGGTTGGACGTACTGCCAAATTCTCTAAAACAACGTTGGAGGAGGCTTATGGTAGAGAAATAAACATTCAATTCTCTGGCAACAGCTCTGGTGGACATTCCTTCAGTCAGCATGCCAATTGCACGCTCCCTCAAAACTTGAGACATCTGTGGCATTGTGTTGTGTGACAGAAATGCACATTTTAGAGTGGCCTTTTATTGTCCACAGCACAAGGCGCACCTGTGTAATGATCATGCTGTTTAATCAGCTTCTTGATATACCACACCTGTCAGGTGGATGGATTGTGTTGGCAAAGCAGAAATGCTCACTAACAGGGATGTAATGTGTGCACAAAATTTGAAAGAAATAAGCCTTTTGTGCATATAGAAAATGTAGGGGATATTTTATTGCGTTTATATTTTTGTTCAGTGTGGATAGATTCTCTTACTGCACATATAGTACCAGTCAAAAGTTTGGACACCTACTCATACCAGGGTTTTTCTTTATTTTAAATATTTTCTACATTGTTTATTTTGATTTGTTTAACACTTTTTTGTTTACTCCATGATTCCACATGTGTTATTTCATAGTTGTGATGTCGTCACTGTTATTCCAAGAAAAACCCTTGACTGGTAGTGTAGGTAAAAATAATAGGTTTATTACTTCAATTAAATGAGGGGTGCTCTGATGCGGTCTTGTTTTGGACAAGCTATACATTTTAAGCGCCTGATTTTATAACATTTTAGAAGGCAGCTCGTCATACTTTATGACCTTAGATGGGCATGATGCTAATTGTCTTAGATGAACCACACAATTGGTTTAGAGATAAACAGCTCCTAATTATAAGACCCCCAAGACAATTAACACCAGGGGTGTCCACTTTCCTGTTCATCTGGCTGTTTGTGGTCTAGGGGTCTAGGCAAACTGACCACATCCATTAGGCCCATGGTCTGACACTTTGACAGCAGCGCTAAGCAGGTGTGTGTGTGTGCGCACCAGTGAGGTCGAGGCCTAGGAAGGATGATTAGTCAGTTTCATTAGCTGTGCGGATCATTGTGTGAGATCAATACGGATGCCCATCACTACCTGGTGGGCCAGACACACACAGCCTGTAGGCTGCAGACAGAAGGATAATGGTGCACAGGATGAAGAAACGGACCGTTTGTAAACATTGTTAAAAGAGGCTAATTATGCCAATGGACGACGAGTGGGAAAACAATTAGATAGAGATGGCTCTGTTCTGTTGTCTTGTGCACTTCTAGGTGCAGTGAAGTCGTGCTTAAAGACAGATATTATTAATATCAGAAAAAGTCTTAAAAAAACAAACTGGTCTGGATGGACATGAATTTCGTCAGTGTCTCATTTCAACACGAGCGCACAAGAGCAGCAACATCTCCCCTGTTATGTCTGTATTTGGACATAAGGGGGCGATAAGGTGCAGGGATGTAGCCCAGTCTCTCACCTGGTCCGTCAGGGTGGAAGCGGATGTGCTGCTGCGGATGTCCCTGCTGCTGTTGCATCATCATCATCCCCTGCTGTGGTCCTCCTCTTCCCCCGGAACTAATGAGCTGGCCTGGGGCTCCTTGAGGGTGTGGGCCCTCCATTTCCCCAGCACCACCACGGCCCGGGTATATCATTGGGGCGCCCGGCCGGTGCTCGAGATCTCCCTGGGGGCCCAGCCTCAGGCCGCTCAGCATGGCCAGGGGCCCCCTCTCTGGGCCTGGGGTGCTGCTGACTTCATAGCTGCTGGGTATCTTCACACACAGCAGGTCTGAGATGGCTGCTACAACACCTGTGATGTTCTGGGAAAACAAACAAAAAAAGTCGTAAAATAGTATGTAACGGCTATTGCCAGTCAAAAGCCAATGGCACAGATAGAGAGCAGTTCATGACTCGCGCACAAAGTATTGGGTTCGGCTTCTACAATTAAGCCTGGTGAGATTTGAATCCTAACATATCTAAACAGTAGTGAAAGGACTGAGGTGCATTTTTGAGAGGAAAAAAGGGGAATAAAACTACTACATGAACTACATTGTTTAACCGCTTAAATAAAAATTAAAGGATCTAGACCATTCCCTCCATGGTGACATTCTCTGAGAGCAGGACGAAGAGAAGCCAACAGAACAGAACCCTCACCTCTGCGGCAGCTGGTCTCAGGGTGATGGCTACAGACACCAGGCCTGGCTTAGTGTCGTTAGATGCTGGGCCAAAATGGGAGCCGAAGAACATGCCAGAAGGCTCCGTCTTGAGCTCAGTCTTCAGCCTAACCTCTAACCCTACAGGAAGAGTAATAGACACATCCGGAAAAATATTTCATTAATACTTAGTCCTGTCAACTGAAAGCAGTTTGTGACAACTGTTAATGTAAAAAGGGCTTTATAAATAACACGATTGATAAAGTAGTGCGTATAATAGTTAGAAAGGCACATACTCTGTTTGCAGTTTATTTCCAGTTTAAACAAATGACCAAAATTGTACCTTTCCCCCAGGGTGCAGGGAGCATGGGGAGGACGGGGGAGAGAGGCTCCTCCTTCACCAATGACAGGTTTGGGTAGCGGCTGATCTCCATGCCAACCACACTTTCAGGAGACGAGGAGGGGACGAAACTGTCTGGTGTGTCCCGATCCTTACAATGCTCTTGTCCCAGCCTGTTACTGTGACAGAGAGGGAGGGGGTTGAGAGAAACATTAGTTAAGATCAGTTAAAATTTAAACAAAAATCATTGCGTTCACAATTCTAAATTGTCTTCATCAGGATTTCCTAAACTGAGAACATTGTGAAGAGATTGTTTTGGAGTCTGAAAGCTTGTATGGTATATCTACAGCCTAGTCCTAGTACCCAGATAGAGGAAAATGCATGTTTTTAGACGAATAACCTATTTTCACAAAAATATCATTGCATTCACAACTGTAAATTGTCTTGAGGAGGCTTCCCTAAGGTGAATTGTTGTGGAATCTGAAAGCTTTTCATCATATACATGTATCTACAGCCTAGTCTGAGTACCTAGCTAGAGGATAATGCATGTTTTTAGACAAATATTAGTATATAAATTGTGTCCACTGTCTATGAAGTGCAATTCAATTGAATCTTTATTGTCCCAGTAGGGAAAATCATTGTGTGGCCAAGTATTTACAGAATATACTGTATTCACAATGACAAGTTTATAGGGTAATATGGCATCTTTCAGCCACTGATGTAAAGCATGTAAGCATAACCAAAGACATCACTACTAATTTATCTGTTCTGGGGAGCAGAGGCCTTCCTTACCTGAGTTCCTCCTGGTTGTTGTGAGGGGGCGTGGGGAGGGAGGCTGGCACGTCCACAGTTTTAGGTCCCTGAGCGATGGCCCGCGCCAGCAGGTCCTCCTCGGTCCTGAACGGGACGTGGAGCGGCTTGGGGACCAGACCTTTAGACACTAGAAGAGAAACATATGAACGAGACATTCAGATTGGTCCAAACTAAAGACATAGAATCCCTTGAAATTAATGTAAATGTATGTTCTAGGAGTTAGGCTTTATTTATATGTGACTGTCTGCTCTAGGAATGCTATGTCTAGGGTCCTAACAGCAATACACAGCATGACACTACATATGAGCAACACTTTCAGGGGTTCAGCAAGCAGGAATATGCCAATAAACCCTGGTCACCCCTGATCCCTTTCCCAGTACTCACCCATAGCAGCAGCTTTGCTGGCCAGCTCTTCTGTGGTGGCGAAGCCATTGATCATCTTCTGTCGGTTCACAGGTGGAGGAGTCGGAGGAAGGGAAGCCGGCGGGGTAGGGGGGTTGCTCAGATTGTTCTGCTTTGAAGAATCAATCCAAGGAATACATGTTACCATACTACAACAGGGAGGGATCTAGCATATCTCAGAGTGGTCTCTGAGGCACCAAAGACATCATTCAACTTATTAATAAAACCTGTGCCTGGGGCTGGTCTAGTGGGTAGTGCCACTGCCTTCAGCACATACAGTATGCAGTACATGTTTATGTGGGATCACCCCATCTCCTCTTAGCTCATGTAAAGCCTTGAACACAAAAACAAGAGGAGTGGCATTTTAAAATAATTGTAAAAAAATAACTGTGGTTGGTATTCTGTAATACCGCAGCTGTTTTCAAACCGCACTGATACTCTGTAATCGGAAGGTTAGCGATGTTAACAAGTATATGTCAAATCCCATAGAGAACGCTAATGAGAGCATTGAACATTTTGTACAGTTTCTACAAGTAACTCAAAAATGCTACTCACAGTTCACTGCACGCACAAAACAAACATTAGCCAGCAAGGCTCTTGATCCAGGAGCGGATTCTCTACTGTTTCCAAGCGAATGCTTGATTTTGGAAGAAGCTAGCTAACCACTTAACTAGATAGCTAACTAGTTACTAAATTAGCAAACCAAATGCACAACTGCAGAGCATTTAGCACATTTTAGACAATTAACTTAAGTTATCAGATATCTATACTGTAATTAGATCACCTGGCGCATGCTGCACAAGTGTGAGTGACTCAAGGCTCCGGTCTCTCGTTGTCTGCTTGTAAACAAACAACACATGACACGTGACTGGGGACTACCGTAAGCGTCATAATAATGTGACAGGAGTTGTGAAGAACGCAATGTTCTTTATCGCCTAACAGATTGCAAAAGTTGACTGCAGGTATATACTTAAAAAGTACCTACAAATATTAAAATATATTTAAAAACTTTAAAGAAATAGTGTAAACGGTATTGACGGTTTTGAAAAACCGTCCAGTGGCTTTTTCCAAATACCCTGGTATACGGTATATACGGTATACCGCCCACGCCTAGTGGTTGGATCAGAGTCCTCACCTTGTAGGCTAGCTGGGAGTAGTAGTCTGAGACTCCGTCCAAAGCGGCGCTACCAAAGGTCCCAGACAGATGGTTCTCCCCGTTGAGCTGGCCGCTGCCATAGGGGGCGAAGTGGGCAAAGTTCACCCCTATCAGGGGCTCTATGAGGGGCAGAAGGGACAGCTGCTGTAGGAGGAGAGAGAGGGAGGAAGGGAGAGAAGGGGAGAAAAAGAGAAGTGGAGTAGGAGGAAGAGACATGGGGTGTAACTATTTATTTACTTAATCCTTACTTTACAAGGTTCGTGTTCAGTAGGGCACACTGTAGCTAAACGTTTTGAAACAGAAAACGAACGTTTTTTTTTATTGAATCACATCCAGATAGTCCCTCCCTGTTTTAGTTATGTTTTTTTCTGTTTGGCACCTAATGAACACGACACATTTTTCATTTACAGTAACAACCTGGGGAAGAGTTTCAGCGAGGGGAAAGGAGAGGGGTTGAAGGAGCTAATGATGATTATAGTCGCGACTATAGTTGGGATTGGTTGAAGCTCAATGTTAAATTCAAATCTCCCTACCATCATATCTAAATATGACATTAATGTCGATGAAACTTTGCAAATCAACTTGATTGGAGGTACACAACACGCTCCCCGCCTCTCGCCATGATCCGTTCAGAGAAACACATTGGATTTTTAACATGGTCGTTAGCATTAGGAAAAAATAAATTGTCTTGCCCGACCTAACTCAAGATCTAGGCGTCGGATAAGAACGAGACTACAGGGACCATAAAATGATCATTAGACTTGCCATCTTTCTGACTGAATATGTTTGCATGTGCAACAGTTATGATTACATTTATAATTTATCGCGCTCACGCGCCAATAAAGAACCAACGATGTCCTACCTTTTTGTAGCATTTCTGACAATGCTAACATATTTTTCAGAATTTTTAGTTGCAACTGTTTGGACTAATGATTACACCCCAGTCTGGCCAGTTATATGAGAGCTACTGTTGGCTCACAGCCTAATGCCAGTTAGCTAGCTAGCTTGCCGACGATACCCAAACAGTGGTGTGAACATTCGTGCACCACAACTCAATGTTGAAAATATGCCACATTCTTCCACAAAAGAAGCTAACTTTAGCAAACTGCCACGCTAGGTCTTAGCTTGATGCAAATTCAGTACATTCTCTTCCCTGTCATCGTCAACTTTACTCTTGACATTTAATCCCAAAGATCTCTGGCCAAGTTACTTGATTGTACTTGACAGCTCCGAGCTGGCTACTTGACAGCTAGCCCATGTGTACTTTGCAGCGGTAGGCAACCTCCACCCAAACCCTGACAACCAATGTATAGCAATGCACAACACCGCAACCCTTAAGGCTAGAAACAAGCCGTAAAAGACTATATGAAATTCAGAGGCTGAGCTAAGACCTTCAAAAGTCAATCAGTTCCTAAACAGATTTGCTTTGAGTTAAAAAACTTTGTAAAATATGACTTCCCATTCAAAGCAATGTAAGACTGTCGCAATCTATGTAGTTCAAAACTGATTTTAGAGTGCAGCAGACCAGGGTTTAAACTAGCAACACTTGCAGTTATCCAAGCACACCACCTGTGCCATTAAGGTCCAGATCTTTTGTCAGAGGCCGCATTACAGGTTACAATAGCACTACCAATTACATTAATTTTTGGTTGCAAAAAAAATAATCATGCTTTGAATGTGGAAATGTTGTATAATGCACCTTTAACATAAAATCACCTTCAGGTGTAAGTCGGCATTGGTCTGAAGCGTTTAAAGTGAGAAGTAGGCATTGGTCTGAAGCCAAAAAAGAAAGGAAATTCACGAGCACCACAATGCCTACTTCACCAAGATTTTTCAGCACACAGCTTTGACCTACTACATTAGCTAAGTTTGGTATATTGTACCGTACTTCAAACAATGCGTAGGCAGGTTGCTTGGGATTCAAACCTTCTCAAACAGCCTAAGTCATACTCTTAGAGGAGGTGCTTCCACCATTATTTGATTTGTACTGCATACAAGGTAAAGTATTGAATTCTTCACACACCACACTAAGACATTATCCCATTCCACTACACTTTCAAGCACTTTCTTTTATTATTTGAAAGCAAGCTTTGCTTTTATACCTACAAGACCACCAGGCTTGATTGAGTGAGCTGTTTTGTTCTGTATTTCCTTAAACCTTTATTTGAGCAATTGAATATAAAAATTCCCTTTGAGCATTAATTACACTTTGGATGGTGTATAAATACACCCAGTCACTACAAAGATACAGGTGTCCTTCCTAACTCTGTTGCTGGAGAGGAAGGAACCGCTCAGGGATTTCACCATGAGGCCAATGGTGACTTTAAAAAACATAGAATTTAATGTCGGTGTTAGGAGAAAACTGAGGATGGATCAACATTATAGTTACACCACAATACTAACCTAAATGACAGAGTGAAAAGGAAGCCTGTACAGATTAAAACATATTCCAAAACATGCATCCTGTTTGCAATAAGGCACTAAACTAAATCTGCCAAAAATGTGACAAATAAATTAACTTTATGTCCTGAATACAAAGCGTTATGTTTGGGGCAAATCCAACGCAACACCTCACAGAGTACCACTCTTCATACTTTCAAGCATCATGTTATGGGTATGCTTGTCATCGGCAAGGACTAGGGAGTTTTTTAGGATTAAAATACATTAATTAAAGCTAAACTCAGGCAGAATCCTAGAGGAAAACCTGGTTCAGTCTGCTTTCCAACATACACTGGGTGACAACTTAACCTTTGAGCAGGACAATAACCTAAAACACAAAGCCAAATATACCAAGACAACTTTGAATGTTCCTGAGTGGCCTAGTTACAGTTTCGACTTAAATCGGCTTGAAAATCTATGGCAAGACTTGAAAATCGCATTCTAGCAATGATCAACAACCAACGTGGCAGAGCTTGAAGAATTTTAATAAGAATAATGTGCAAATATTGTACAATCCAGGTGTGCAAAGCTCTTACAAAAAATTTATTGAATCCATTTTAATTTTAGGCTGTAACAACAAAATGTGGAAGTCGAGGAGTATGAAGGCACTGTATGTTCTCCGGTGGTGTAAAACTGCCTGCAAAATTCCATAATTACCTCAGATATATGAACACAAATAGCACCACGCCAATTAACATGCCTGGGGTATTATTAACATTTTTTACTCTGCTGTGGTGGCTATGTGTTTAGTGGAAGTCTGTGGGTCATTTGTCCTTGTTTATGGTTTACAGCGATTACCGGGTATTTCTAATTGAAGCGTGTTTTGAAAGCCTAGATTTCCCATTAAATTCATTTTCTACAATTATTCTTCCCACATGGGAATAAAACTGCGACAGCAATTACTTATCAAAATGTCAGTAATTTAACTTTGACAAAGCAGCGAGTAAATTGTAACTCTAAAGAGCTGGTTGACTGTTTTATAATAACCTTTGGTGAGAAAAACAATATTATTTATGTCTCATTTATCAATGAGATGCACACAGTATGATGTAGCAGCACCCAGTATGCAACGACATAATTTGTTTAAATGAACATCATTTTTTACATATCATACATGGCTCTATGCCAAACTCTAGATAGCAGTATGCAATCAAACTGTGTAGTTTCTATTGAATTTAAACTAGAGCCATTTATGAAGTGATTATGTGATCAGATTTAATCAATGAACAGCACCATGGAGGGTGGGGGGAGTTATAATATGCATTGCATTCTTCTAGATAATAACCACTAGTAATGCCTGGGTGTATAACTGTCATACACCTAGCAGCATAATTTGCTAGTCCATAATCACGGCAGTTACACTATATATATTCTTAAAACTGCATTGTTGGTTAAGGGCTTGTAAGTAAGCAGTTCACAGTAAGGTCTACACCTGTTGTATTCGGCGCATGTGACAAATAACATTTGATTTTATATATAGACAAAAGTATGTGGACACCCCTTCAAATGAACAGAATTGGCACCGTCCTAGGATGCCACCTTTCCAACAAGTCAGTTTGTCCAATATTCGCCCTGCAAGAGCTTCCCCGGTCAACTGTAAGTACTGTTATTGTGAAATGGAAACGTCCAGGAGCAACAACAGCTCAGCAGTGAAGTGGTAGGCCACACAAGCTCACAGAACAGGACTTCCAAGTGCTAAACGCGTAGCGCGTAGAAATCATCTGTCCTTGGTTGCAACACTCACTACAGAGTTCCAAACTGCCTCTGGAAGCAACGTCAGCACAATAACTGTTCGTCGGGAGCTTCATGAAATTGGTTTTTATGGCCGAGCAGCCGCACACAAGCCTAAGATCACTATGCGCAACGCCAAGCGTCGGCTGGAGTGGGGTAAAGCTCGCCGCCATTGGACTTTGGAGAAGTGGAAACGCGTTCTCTGGAGTGATGAATCACGCTTCACCATCTGGCAGTCCGACGGATGAATCTGGGTTTGGCGGATGCCAGGAGAACGCTACCTGCCCCAATGCATAGTGCCAGCTGTAAAGTTCGGTGGAGGAGGAATAATGGTCTGGGGCTGTTTTTCATGGTTCGGGCCAGGTCCCGTCCAGTGAAGGGAAATCTTAACGCTACAACATACAATTACATTCTAGATGATTCTGTGCTTCCATCTTTGTGACAACAGTTTGGGGAAGGCCCTTTCCTGTTTCAGCATGACAATGCCCCATTACACAAAGCGAGGTCCATACAGAAATGGTTTGTCGAGATCGGTGTGGAAGAACTTGACTGGCCTGCACAGAGCCCTGACCTCAACCCCATCGAACACCTTTGGGATGAATTGGAACGCCGACTGCGAGCCAGGCGTAATCGCGCAACATCAGTGCCCGACCTCACTAATGCTCCCGCAGCAATGTTCCAACATCTAGTGGAAAGCCTTCCCAGAAGAGTGGAAGCTGTTATAGCAGCAAAGGGGGGACCAACTCCATATTAATGGCCATGATTTTGGAATGAGATGTTCAACGACCATTTGTCCACATACTTTTGGTCATGTAGTGTATGTTGCTATGATACATGTAATGCTTTCAGCACACACACACACACCACACACACACACACACACCGTCCTATCCTATCTGTAATTAGCTAGCTCTGTGGTCAACGCATCAGAACTGCAAAAGATGGAGTTGCAGAAGGAAACATCTCTGAAGGGAGAATTCACCTCCCCTGAATGCGAGATAAATGTGAGTACATGTAGCCTTTCTGCATGCTGAATGTGGCCTACTGGTGTAAGGAGTCGTCTAATCTTACCAAGATGGCGTAGCAGTGCGGTCAAGTATTCTGTAGTGTCCTTGTGTAAATAGCCTGTTTTTTGTTGTTGTTTTTTGTCTCTTTTGTATACATTTCTCAATCTCACTTTCCATCCTTTCACTAAATATACTTTCCTGCAACCCACCTCACCCAATGTGGAACGGATTCTATTATTTCTTTATACCTTTTTATCTAGAACCTCCGGCTGAAACTAGCCAGCTAACTAGCTACTTGCTATTAGACACCGTTAGCGGTCTTCACCATTGTCCGTGGCCTGCACTACCTACCAGCCAGCTCTAGCCTGGACAAGTATCGGGCAGTCTGCACAGCGCGCTATCGACCCAGAGCATATCAGATTTTCTGCCGTAATCACTGGACCTTAACACAGGATCATCGCAACTAGCAAGCTGCAACCGAATGGCTGTTGTTGTTGTCTAATCACCACTGTCCCAAAGCAAGCACCAGTTAGCCTTGAGCTAGCCTCGAGCCAGGCCCATCTCCCGGCTATCTACCTCTCTGTCAACCGGACGGGACCTCCTAGTGTCGACACGGAGCCCCACCGATCCATCACGACTGGTCTGCCGACGTAATCGTCTGATGTGGTTTCAACAGGCTTCCCGTTGCGACGACCACGAAGATCCATCTGCTAGCCCCGGCCCGCTAGCACACGCAATCAACAGCCGTGCCACCTGCTCGCCTGTGCCGTAGCAGCCACTGAACTGCTCCCGGACTCACCTATTGCTGTTCACTGGACCTTATGATCACTCAGCTACACAGCTGATACCTGCTGGACTGTTCCTTTATACGGTACCCCATCCTGTTTATCTGTTTAGCCTCAGGCCAAACTTTCGTCGCCATTACCAGCTGTTGTCTTCGCTCTCTCGAATAACACCTGTGATTGCTTTATGCCTCTCTCCCATGTCAATATGCCTAGCCTATTGCTGTTCCGGTTAGTTCTTATTATACAATTTCACTGTAGAGCCCCTAGTCCCGCTCAACCAGCCTCAGAGAGCTCCTTTGTCCCACCCCCCATACACGCAGAGACCGGCTCCAGTGATGCTATTTCTTTCATCGTTTCCCAACACTTAGGTTTTCCTCCACTGTATTCATATCCTTGTCTGTACATAATGCCCTGAATCTATTCTATAACGCCTGGAAATCTGCCCCTTTTATTCACTGTACCCAACGCACTAGAAGACCAGTTCTTAAAGCCTTTAGCCATATCCATATTCTATTCCTCATCTGTTCCTCTGGAGTTGCAATCTACTGTAGAGATAGCCTGCAGAGCTCTATCATACTATCCAGGTCTGTGCCCAAACAGTTTGAGCTTCTACTTCTAAAAATCTGAAATAAGTCTCTCACTGTTGCCGCTTGCTACAGACCCCCCTCAGCCTCCTGCTGTGCCCTGGACACCATATGTGAATTGATTGCCCCCCATCTATCCTCAGAGTTCGTACTGCTTGGTGACCTAAACAGAGATATGCTTAACACCCCGGCCGTCCTACAATCTAAACTAGATGCCCTCAATCTCACACAAATTATCAAGGAACCTACCAGGTACAACCCTAAATCCGTAAACATGGGCACCCTCATAGATATCATCCTGACTAATTTACCCTCTAAAAACACCTCCGCTGTCTTCAACCAGGATCTCAGCGATCACGGCCTCATTGCCTGCGTCCGTAATGGGTCCGCGGTCAAACGACCACCCCTCATCACTGTCAAACGCTCCCTAAAACAAGGTATATCTCACTGGTCATCCCCAAAGCCAACACCTCCTTTGGCCGCCATTCCTTCCAGTTCTCTGCTACCAATAACTGGAACGAACTGCAAAAATCTCTGAAGCTGGAGACACTTATCTCCCTCTAACTTTAAGCATCAGTTGTCAGAGCAGTTTACCGATCACTGCACCTGTACACAGCCCATCTGTAATTAGCCCACCCAACTACCTCATCCCCATATTGTTATTTATTTTGCACCTCAGTATCTCTATTTGCACATCATCTTCTGCACATCTATCACTCCAGTGTTAATACTACATTGTAATTCTTTTGCACTATGGCCTATTTATTGCCTTACCTCCATAACTTACTACATTTGCACACACTGTATATAGATTTTCTATTGTGTTTTTGACTGTACGTTTTGTTTATTCCATATGTAACTCTGTGTTGTTGTTGTTTTTAATCGCACTGCTTTGCTTTATCTTGGCCAGGTCGTAGTTGTAAATGAGAACTTGTTCTCAACTGGCTTACCTGGTTAAATAAAGGTGAAATAAAAATAAATAAATAATCTCTGAAGTGTGTTTAGAGAATCAACAGCACTCCTTTTATTATTTTATCATTGGCTTATTTTCTGTAGTGGACTACATAGTCCCTAGTGTTATGTGATGTTTAGGTCTATCCCCTACCTGTTTTAGCTGGGTCATTAGTGCATCTGTGCTAGAATGCACCAGTTGCTTCTCCTCCCCCTCTTTCTTCCTCTTCTTGTAGCGAGAGGCAGGCCTCTCCCCTCCCTTGGGGGTCCTCTTGTTTCTGCCTTTCTTCTTCTCCTGTCCTGCTAGCAGCGGTCCTGGAAACTCTGGCAGGCCAGACAGCTGTCCGTCTGAATACGCCTGGGAGAAGGTAGATGAAGATTACTTTATTCTCAATTTTAACAGAGAAACTGGTAAGAGAGCAGTGTCTCTCTTATGGCCAATCACAAAAATACAGCATTATCTATAAAAATAAATAAACATGACATCAAGGATGATAACCGTTAAAAAATAATTTTACAAATGTTAACTCTTAAGCCTTTTGGGTATGTCCGAGTGTTTTCAAAAAACATTTCATGAATCATGACTCAGCCTAAAATACTGCCTCCTACTATGACTCACAGCAGTTTGTCACAAGCAGCAGGAGACACGACCCATCTGACTGAGTCACTGAGTAGGACTCAGAGCTTGGCTTAGCTGTGACTCACACTGGCAGATCATCTACCTACATAGCAAGCTAGCGGTCACTGACTCAATGGAGGCTGGTCGAGGGAGAAATCAGAGGACAGGCTCACTGTAATGAATGGAACTGTTCCACTCAATCCATCCCAGCTGTTGCAATGAGCCTCCACCAGCCTCCACTGCCGTGCCTCATCTGCCAGACAGTGAGACTCACCCCATTGCTGTCCATGGAGCTCTGCCTCAGCAGCAGGGCCTTGCAGTCTGCAGCCGCCTCCTCCTCTTCAGACCTCAGGCTCTCGTCTGACCGTTGGGGGGGAAGCCCTGGTCCATTAAGAGGTGTCTGCTTGTTCTTCAACAGGTGTTTGAGGAGCTCGTTATTACCCCCAGACTCCCCCTTGGCTCCCCCGCCGTGCGAGGGGCTCTGTGGTGCAGGTCTACCCTCCTCCTTCACCATGCCCATCCCTGAGCACATGTCGGATGAGGCGCACTCGGTGCTCTCAGTCTGCTCCAGCTTGATGTTGCTGAGGATGCGCTCCTGCTCCAGAGCCTGGGCCCTGGCTAGGGCGATGTCTGATGGGAGGCTGCTCATCCCTCCAGGCTGCCCAACACCACCCAGCCCCAAGCCTCCTCCAGAGAGCTGCCTCTCCAGCTCAGAGTGGCTGTGGGTAGAGGTGGAGGAGCCCAGTAAGGGGGACCTGGAGAGGTCCTGGTCCCCGAAGAGGTGGGCGTTGTTCCTGGTGGGTGTGGAGGATGTGTCCGACCGGCAGGGCGTCAGAGGGGCTGTGAGGTCAGAGTGCGGCGTGGACGGGGTTTTGATCGAATCTGCGTCGTCGTTGTCTGTCTTCTTCTTTCTGTTCCTCTTCTTCTTCCCCTTCTCGTCCGGGATGATGTTGGAGTAGAGCTGGATCAGAGACTGACCCGAGCCGGGGAAGTTGGAAGGCAGCGGTGTGGTGGAGGAGTCTCCGCCAAACGGAGGGCCTTCCCCGGGCATCTGAGGCATCATGCCTGGCCCACTGAACCTCCTGGGTCTGGGTTGACCCTGGGAGAAGTTACCTCCCTGTAGACCCATGGTGTCAGGCCCAAAACCACCAGGCCCCATGTCCTGAGGAAGCATCCCGTTACCCATCATGGCCCTCCGGTCACCGCCTTGCATGTAGGCCCCGGGAGGAGAGCCCATCCCTGGCTGCATGGGCTGCTGCTGGGGGAACAGCCTCTGTGGCTGCATGAAGTCCTGGGGCAGCTCGGCATTGAAGAACAGCATCTGAGAGATGGGCACCATGTTCCCCCCATCGGGCCCCAGCAAGCCTTCCTGTTCCATCTCCATGCGTTGTTTCAGGACCCGTTGGTGCTCTACCTCCTGCATCAGCTGGACCCTCTGCCTCTCCTGCTGCTCTCTCAGCCTCTCCCTTCGCTCTCTCTCCTGGAAGCCCTCGCTGAACGGGTTGTTGTCGTCAAACTTCAGACCAGAACCCTGTGGGGGTTTGACCCCACCAGGTTGAGCCTGAGGCTGTGGTTGGTTTTCCATGGGCATCTGCTGGGGCATTTGGGTAGGCATCTGCTGGGGCATCTGGGGGGGCTGCTGAGCTGGGTTTCCCATGGGAACCTGAGGGGGCATGAGAGGGGGTATATTGGGGCCGCCCATGGGTATGGGAGCTCCAGGATGCCATCCTGGTTGGTTGGTTATCGGCATGCGTTGTGGAGGGGCGTTTGGCTGGCCTGGATGGAGTGGCACCTGATGCATCATTGGGTTCATAGGTGGCTGTTGGTTCATCGGAGGCCCGCTTGGTACCTGGCCACCAGGGCCAGGGACACCCTGCATTGGTGGCATTCCTGGCACAGCCGCTGGCATCACAGTGGAAGGCACTCCACTACCACCATGCTGCTTCACTTGATACTCCTCGATGAGCTCAGCGTGCTCTTTCTGCTGCTTCCGGATCTGAAAAGACAAGAACCAAACACAATTCATGAGCACATAGGCAAACTCATGAAAATGCATGTCTCAAATGCCAAGACAGACAATAACAATTAAACATTTTCATTGACATCATTTAATGCATATTCATGATCATTATAAGGAGCATTGAAATGTTGTCTGAATAACTGAAGAAATAATCGACATTTTTGTCAGGGTCTCAAAACATAGCTCCCCAAGCAAAGGCAGTTTGAGCGTTGAACTGAGAGCATAGTGCAGGGGTGAGAGGAAGTGCTGATGTGAAAGAAAGAAAGAGTGCCCTCAGCAGTATTTACCTGGTCCAGCTGTTTCTGGACTACACTCTGCTGCTCTGTCACATGTTTCAGCTGCTCTGCGTCCTCCTCAGCGAACTCCCTCCCAGCCTTCTTGGCCGTGCGCTGCTTGGCACACAGGGCCTTCTTGGACTTCCTGTGGGCTCCGATCTTTTCCTCCAGAAACTTCTGCTGCATCTGGAGCAGCTGCTGGGTCTCCTGAAGCCACTCCTCGTACTGAGCCTTCTGAGCATTGTCTGAGTGGGAGATAAGAGACAGGAGTTTTCATAGGACTTATATATCAAACAGCATTTCTTAAAAACACCCTTTGGGCTAAGTCTGAAAGCCCAAAAAATATCTTAGGGGTAGACAGAATGTTATTTTATACCATTATTATTGAATTGAATCAAAATATCAATTTACTGACTATTTGAAATTGAACTTACTAACAAAACCTGAACCAAAATTGGGAGGGTTGGGCCTTGCCACCACAGGTGTCAGCTTGCCATCCTGGTTTTGAAAGGGACAAACAATAAATTGTTATAATTCGTATTTCCTAGTATGGTTGTGTATGAAAGATGACTTGAGAGAACTGATTTGGTGAAAAGCGTTTCAGTTACCTGTCCAACAGCCTGTGGAGGAGCAGAGGTGCTTTCAGGACATGCTGCTGCAGCGACAGGTGGAAACCTGTTCATGACCATCGGTGTCATTCCCATGTTGTTTTGAACCATGACTTTGTTGATGCCTTTCAGAGCGACCATCTTTGCTTTCATAATAGGGTCAGTGATTGCGTCAAAATCTGCAGACAAAAAAAAGATGTGGTCAGCAACTTGCCCATTACAAAAGACAAAAGTCCTCAATTATTATTTTATAGACAAAAATTCCTCTATGCATATCACTTATATTTATACTATTTATTAATCATACAAAATGTGAAGGTAAATAACTTGTTTGAACTGGAATAAAAGCATTTAGCCTGAATGAAAAACATCCAGTTACCGATGTTGGGGAAGAAGGAGTCACTGGAGGAGCGTTGTCGGATCATGGCCTGCATCTGCCTCTGCTGCTGCTGCTCCTGCCTCTCCTGGTCCAGCAGGTCCTGCAGGAGGAGGGGCTGCTCCTCCAGCAGCAGCGGTCTGTGCCCCCCTGGCCCCGCCTGGCCCAACGTCTGGGCCAACAGGGCCTGCTGAGCCGGGGTCAACCCACTCTGGTCCATCTCAAAGGTTGACATCGATGTTTCTCCTTCTTCTTCTCCCCTTTTAGTGGGATCCATGGTTTGGGATCCCATAGTAAGTCCAGAGTTGTTCTGAGCATCTTGGTTTGGCTGTGCCATAGAGTTACCACTGCCTTGATTGTCAGAGGAGGAGTCCTCTGGCTGCTGCTTGATTAGTAAGCTAGAGAGGACTGGGGTGGAGTCAGAGAGCACTCCTGATTGGTTGTTAGTGTTTCCGTCTGCTTGCTGGTCCGTCCTCTCATTGGACGTCTGGGACAGGTTGTCTTCGTCCACCATTTTGATCTTCTGCTCAGAGGGCAGGGAGGAGGCGGTGCTTTGTCTACAGCTCACTTCCTGTTTGACCTCAACTGACGAGGAATACTTCTCGGCCGTTCCCTCTGACTTCCCCATTCCAGATGTTAAATTGGAGAAGGAAGATGCAGCACCACCATAGCTAGAGCTGAAGTTCCTCTTCTCAGTCAAAGCCTTCTGGAAGTCTGAGGCATCACTGTGGTCTTCCATGGGGTCACTAAGCTCCAGCTCCTCGTTGAACATGTCCTTCTTGATGTCGTTCAGGTCAGGGTCCGTGTATGCGATGATGTCGAACTTCCCCGACGTCAGGAAGTCGTCCAGGTGCAAATCGTTGGTCTCCAGGTCCAGGTCTTTGCCGTCTTCTTCTTCCGGATCCAGGTTTAGGTTGTCCAGATCGGCATCGACCAGGTCCTTCACCTCCACATCTTCCAGGTCTTTGACAGCCGATTCGACGGTGTCCAGTTTCTCCTCCACTCCATCGTTGTTGTTAGCCATGGAGACTCCCTGACCATCAGTATGTCCATCTGATGTCCCTGGCATCATCATGGAAGGAGCTGACATACTCTGGGTCTCATTTGAAGCTGGCTGGCTCATGGATCTCATCAGCTGTGCTTGCCTGGGCATGGTGCCCCCTTGCATCTGGGCCTGCTGCTGCTGGTGGAGGTTCTCCATGCTGGAGGACAGCTGGCTCTGGCCAACCTGCTGGTTCCCCATGGAATCCATCATCATCCTGGGGCCATCTTGGTTCATACCTGGAGGGAACCTGAACTCAGGCCCTCCCATGAAACCAGGAGGCCTTTGGGGCTGGAGGTTGGGATCAATTTTGGGACATTGATCCATGGCGTTGGGCCCGAAGGGGAGGCGAAGCCTGCTGTCAGGGGCTCTGTGTCTCAGCTCGATGAAAGGCTGACCCATGATGTTGTGCTGCTGCATTGGCAAGCCGCGAGGAGGGAAATGCTGTGGCAGCCCCATAGGGTTGGGGTTGCCCCCCATGGACTTGGCCATGTCCACAGACATAGAGCGTCTCATCCCAAGGTGGATGTCCTGCATGGGGTGGGGGCCTCTGAGGAAGAACTCCTGTCCTCCATGAGGTCCCGGCCCACCAGGTGGAAATGCAAACCTGAGAGATAGAAAAAAAACATATCTCAATACATATTCCAGTGCTGAGTTTCCTCAGACATTCTCCACATTTCTATTAATTTTTTCTTTATTTCACTTTTATTTAACCAGGTAAGCCAGTTGAGAACAAGTTCTCATTTACAACTGCGACCTGGCCAAGATAAAGCAAATCAGTGCGATAAAAAACAACAACACAGAGCTACATATGGAATAAACAAAACGTACAGTCAATAACACAATAGAAAATCTATATACAGTGTGTGCAAATGTAGTAAGTTATGGAGGTAAGGCAATAAACAGGCCATAATGCAAAATAATTACAATTTAGTAGTAACACTGGAGTGCAGAAGATGATGTGGAAATAGAGATACTGGGGTGCAAATGAGCAAAATAAATAACAATGTAAATAACAATATTGGGATGAGGTAGTTGGGGGGACTAATTACAGATGGGCTGTGTACAGGTGCAGTGATCGGTAAGGTGCTCTGACAACTGATGCTTAAAGTTAGTGAGGGAGATAAGTGTCTCCAGCTTCAGACATTTTTGCAGTTCGTTCCAGTCATTTGCAGCAGAGAACTGGAAGGAATGGCGGCCAAAGGAGGTGTTGGCTTTGGGGATGACCAGTGAGATATACCTGCTGGAACGCATACTACTGGTGGGTGTTGCTATGGTGACCAATGAGCTAAGATAAGGCAGGGATTTGCCTAGAAGTGATTTATAGATGACCTGGAGCCAGTGGGTTTGGCGACGAAAATGTATTGAGGGCCAGCCAACGAGAGCGTACAGGTCACAGTGGTGGGTAGTATATGGGGCTTTGGTGACAAAACGGATGGCACTGTGATATGCTACATCCAATTTGCTGAGTAGAGTGTTGGAAGCTATTTTGTAAATGACATCGCCGAAGTCCTCTGTAGCTCAGTGGTCCTCTGTAGCTCAATTGGTAGAGCATGGCGCTTGTAACGCCAGGGTAGTGGGTTCGATCCCCGGGACCACCCATACGTAAAAAATGTATGCACACATGACTAAGTCACTTTGGATAAAAGCGTCTACTAAATGGCATATTATTAAGTCAAGGATCGGTAGGATAGTCAGTTTTACGAGGGAATGTTTAGCAGCATGAGTGAAGGAGGCATTGTTGCGAAATAGGAAGCCGATTCTAGATTTAACTTTGGATTGGAGAGGCTTAATGTGAGTCTGGAAGGAGAGTTTACGGTCTAACCAGACACCTAGGTATTTGTAGTTGTCCACATATTCTAAGTCAGACCCACCGAGAGTGACTCATTCAGTTTTTTCTTAGATTACGAAATTCATGAGTCATATAAAAGAGTGTCTTATTTATTGTCCCCCACGATGAAATCAGGGAGGGGACTGTGGATCGCTCTCCGTCCGTACGTTGTTTGTATGGTTGTTAGTCACACGCAATATCTCAATTACACAGATTGGCCCAAGGCGGGAGCTATAGTAATTCACTTAAGTGTTAATCACACGTGTTATCACAATTGGTCAAGGGGGGGGGGGGGGTCGCTGCATCATTCGTGGGGGACGACATGTTTACTGTTGCCTTGTTTAGTCTGTAAGGAAAGTTACAAACCTTGGCCCCTGATGTCTGATATTAGGATCCCCAGGATGTTGTCCTCTGGGGAAACTGGCCCTCGTTAGGGAAAGGGGCTCGCTGGTCCCCTGGGAAGGGTCCAGGGAACCTCATGGGTCCTGGCCCAGGGTAGGGTGGAGGGGGCCGACTGAATATCTCGCCCTGCTGTCCGTGGCCCTCATGGGGCCAGGGTTGAGGGGTGCCAGGGGCCATGTTCCCAGCATTCTCCTGGCGGATGGCACTCCTCTGCTGCTGCTGCTTCAGGATCAGCTCTCGGATGCGTTGACGCTAAATAAAACAACACGAGTAGTCAGACCTCCAACTAGATGATTCATGCCTGAATATTTGATTGAAAAATGAAAAGTGGTATAAGCTATTATCACTGCTTCAAGCTGCAAGGATAACTTATTAGTGCATACACTCATCGAGATGATCAGTTGACCTATAAAAACTCAG